CAGGACAGCCTGCCATCGAGCAGCCAGTCCTTAAAGTTTAATGAACACCAATTAAGCCTTCACAGTCGCTTAAGTGGTTGAGACTACTGGCAGAGAAGATGGAAGAGCTTGGAAAGGAGATAATGAGGAGGAAAGAGAAACAGGAAGGAAAATGGAAAAAGAAGTTGATTTTAAAAAAAATGGAAATGTTTTATCTGATCTTAAGACTGTTATGCGTGAATCAATACAAGTCATTATTATTATTACTATGTGGATCATTAAATTAATAGATCATTAGAGAACGCATTTGCCTGAGGCCATTGAAAATGTGTAATTACGTTTCTAGATGTTTACTTTCTTTCGCAGACTGATAGTTTTGATGCAACAGAACACATTACACAGTACATGCTGTTGACTTGAAATTTGCACCGGATGTTTAAAACAAGCAAAGAAATTCATATATGAAAAGAAAACAAATCTAATGAGTTTACAAATTTACCTATGCGTAACAAAATTAAATGACACAGGTAAAAGGTATTAAACACATGAAGAAAGGGAGGTGTAGAAAGACCCTCTGCCCTTCGTCATTGTAAATTTATGTTAGCTGCTTCAGTCCAACATCTACATTACGAAGATGATAAACATGAAATCAGGGTGGACATTTCAGCAAGACAATGATCCAAAACACAGCCAAGGACACTCAAGCTGTGGAATGGCCCAGCCAATCACCTGACTTAAATCCAATAGAAAATACAAAATAAAGATTAGATTTAATAAACGAGACCCACAGAACCATCAAAATTTTTACACTCTTTGTTGAAGTCTGTGAAAAATCACACCTGAGCAATCCATGCGGTTTCATTCTCTATATGAAAGGTGTCTTTAAGCTGCCATTAACAAAAACACTAACAAACTTATAACTAAAACTGATGACCGCTTGACACCCCTTTTATGAGTCACCAAGGACCACAAGTTCAACTACAAAACACCTTCAACATTCTACTGAACAAAGTAAGTCACCTACATCTTGAAAGTTCTGAAGGTTAGTCAATTAACAGCGTTTTTTTTATTTTTGGGCAAACTGTTCCTTAAAAATGGACTTCTTGTGGTTGATGTACTGTTTATAGGTCACCTATTGTTCAAAATCACATTTATATGGTTTATAAACACACAGTACATCCATAGTACACAACAATCAGACTATATTCAACAAATAGTCCAATCAATCAATAAATAAATAGTAAAATTCATTCATTAGACGCCAATCATAGCTTCCCCAAAAGCATGATTCCACATTTCCCAATGTGTGTGTGTGTGTGTGTGTGTGTGTGTGTGTGTGTGTATATATATATATATATATATATATCATATCATATCATAGGAGTAAAACAGCCCTAACCATGACTGATGTCGATCTGCTGTATTAGCATAGATCCCACCATAAGTGAGCCATTCGATACTCACTACAATTGCACAAGAAATTCACTACAAAATTTCTGCTGCTGAATTTACCAATAAACGTAAAAGCCTCCACAGATTCTAAACATTCCAGGCACTGAGGACATTAAGGCTCAATTTAATATTGGTGTTAATAATATTGTGATAAAGAATTTGGTCATTTTTAACCATAATAGTTATTATGGTAATTAATTTTTGCTTCACCAATACGTCAATAGCAATTCTTCATGCTCTAACTTATCCAGATCAAGTATGTCACTTCATATTGTGCGAATGTTTTCAAATTTCCTGCCCTGATGTGCTTTTTTTCCACATGCTCTACAGTAAATGTGGCTAAAGTTACCATTGTCTGTGACTGTCATAGAGACTACAGCATAATTCATAAACCCACAATTTTTTTCTGCACTGTGCGATAAGCTAAAAGGATTGTACTAAAAGTGCATTTATGTTTGTAAAGACCAGCCTATTGGTACATGCTTGATAAGCTTAATAACTTAACATTACTCAGTAGACATACATCTATCCACCAACCTTTCAGACACATCCTGGTGCAGTCTAGAAATAACCTCTTCCATGTTATCGGTGTCCAAGTCCGATTTGAACGCGTGAAGCTGCTCTCCTTTACTGGTAATTTCTTACATTTGGCTTGGGCTGTTTTGTTGTTTCTGGTGTAACAGAATAGCCTGAAAAGGCTCCTCCATCTTCTGGAGAAAAGCAGCAGCTTTTTTTTTTTTTTTTTTGCTAACACACCAATAAGGACACATTTAAAAAGCTAATAAATTATCTGTGGGTATTTTGAGCTGAAACTACACAGACATGTTCTGGGGACACCAGGAATGTACATCACATCTTGAGGAAAAGGGGTATAATATCTCCTCTTTAAACTGCCTTAAATGAAAGATAAAACACAATATTTTCCATTAGAGTCTTTCTGCAATTTTATATAAATGCTGAGTTCAAAGCAGCTCTGATTGCAAACTGACTGCATGGTCCATAGGCACACATGCATTTAATCTACAGCTCTTTGCTGTCTGCCCTTTCACATCTGATCTGTTGGGAACCCTGCAAAGCAGCCGAGCTCCCTTTAAATCCTTCTCATCTTTTCTATGACTACAGAAGCAGCACTAGAGTTTTTGCGCACACTACCCCACTGGAATAATACACTTGAAATGCTCAATTAGTTTATGCACAGATAGAATATGCAAGTGATCTAGAAAAAAAACTTATACAGTGACTGATGGAGACCCCATTCGGAGTGAGTCTAGCTAATACAACACGAACAAACATAACCAGTCCCATATAGATCTGAATTGCTAATTAAATGTTACATTTTTGCATCTCAGTTCATGACATTTTAATGACGTTACACAAGAATGCCAAGATGCAAACTGAAGATCATTGCTTTTTAATGCGGCTGTCTAACAGAAATCTCCAGAGAATGAATGTTGGATTCAACTTGAATGTTCTGTTGTTAGAAGCGGTTCTGGAATCAGAGCACGTTGATGTCAGTGCTCCTCCATTAAATAATTCATACATCACAACTAAGATATGATGAGGGTGAAATGTATTCTACTTTAGTTGTTAATCTTATTATCTGCATATCTGGAATGAAAGGAGATGTTGGGAATTTCCCAAGCTTTTTGGTTCTCTTTTGAAAGCTCGGTAGCCTACCTGCTCAATGTGAGTTGCAGCTGCTTCCAGAACAGAACAGAACAGACACCTCCACATACACATGAATGCAAATGCCTACCCTGTGGCTTGATTAAAGAAGACCTACTAAGGTTACCTGAATTAAGAACATCCGGTTTAACGTCAAAAACATCTGTATCTTGTCGCCCCCTTCAGTTCAGACTCCAAACCAACGCACGTCAACTTAGCTTGTCTTCAATTTTCATTTATTTATTTTGTTATACTGCTTAAACTGACGATACAAGAACATCAGAACATAGTCCAAGGGATCAGACCGATCTTAAAAAGGGTCAATAATATACATAGTCATACGAAAAAATATAACCACAAGTACAAAAAACATAATTAGACAGAAAGAGAAAAATAAGAATTATAGTATTAATAATAAAATAATAATACAAAAAATACTAAATTAAACAAGGAATGAAATTACAATGACAATTAAACAAATAGCCATAATGAAAGCACCTAAAATTGAGGATCTCCTTTAAATACATCTGTATAATATTTTAGGAATCTTAGTTTTTTTGTTTTTTTTTTCTTAATAAGATGAAGTAATTTTAGGAGGGAGTTAAATTCTATTCTAAAATGAGCAAAGGATGGGTAATTATTTGCAAATTTCTGTTTGTGAATAACATTTTTCCCATATAAGATAAACAAAACAAAACTATGATGTGTTCCAGAGATTTATTTTTTGGGTTATTATAATAAAAAAAATTGTGTCTATAAGACTAAAGCAATTTACAGGATTTGCAGAATCAAATGTATGAGAACTTGAGTGACCAAAATTGCTTGGATGTTGAACAATCAAAAAAACATAAGTACTAATGTTTCCTCTGCTTGTTTGCAGTAAGAACATGAGCTGTCAATATCCAAAAATTTAGAGATACTAGAATTTACCGAATAAATTTTATTTAAAATTTTTAAATATATTTATTTTGCCATGTTAGAAATGCAGTATTTCCCAGGTAAAAGCCAGGTTCTATTCCAGTCTATATCTTCAACCAAGGACCTCCAGTAAATCTTTCCTCTACAGGAAATTGTCCTTTTAAATTGAAAAATTTGACGCACAAACCTATTGTTTCATTTCTCAGATTAACACCTTCTAAAAGCAAAGGAGAATGAATATTCACTGAGCTCCTTTGGTTAAATCTGGTGACTTTTAACTAGGTGAACTAAACCTGGTGATATTGCATCACATAGAACATTTTTTTAATGTTCAGCAATAACTACAAATGTGGTTTTTACGTGTTTCAGCAAAAGTTGTACTAAAAGACAAAACTACAAATAATGAATGCAAAACACATTTTAAAAATTGTCTTTTGAACAAGGACAAATACAACACGGTCGCCTCTATTATTTTACAATAATAAAATAATTATATATTTTTGCTGGACTTTGATCCCATGATTAGTTTGATTGAAAAATGACTGTGCAAAGCAGCATTCCCCTCTGCTGGCTACAGCATCACACTGCATGGCACAATCCATTTATATTGAGTCACATTTAGGCCGATATTTCTTTCCTTAGCAACAGTTTTTTTTTTAATAGGAAATAGTCATGGATGTCAAATAGAGGCCAAATAAAAACATGAAAATGGGTATTTTATTTGTGAACTTGTTTCAGTATTACCGCCTGAGTCACGTGATTCTGTTTTAGTTGATAAATAATTGAATAAAAGTTGCTTACATATATTTAATATCATATTTATTTCATCTGATCTCATTTGCTATGAGAATCAATAATCTTACCGAAGTAGTCAGTTAAAATAAATATGAAAAGCCACAGGCGAGCAGTACACAGTCCTCAGAAGACAACATAGGCTATTACAGTTTCAGACTCCCATTTAAAACAAGAAGAAAAAAGGAGAAACATTTTCATTACGAGGCATATTTTATGTCACAAACACCAATAAATAAATTACTCAGCTCATGGCAAGAAACAGCACATCTACTAGAGGATACAGTAGGTTTTGAGTTGAGAAAACAACAGATTGAGAATACACAAGTGTACAAGTTAATCTACGTTTTGCTTCAGAGTTTGATCTTATTTTATGTAACATAAATGAGTGAAAGCCTCAATGTGTACTTTTAAACCAGAGCTTTTTCTTTAAAGACAATCTCTAGACAAGGGTGAACCTTTTTCATGTTTCCTACGAATTTCCTAAGGATGAATATCAGAGGGGAGAGGAGGTTATATAGAAACGATGTATAAATATGGTGATCATGAGACAATGTGATGGCAGTATGCTGCTGTTTGAATAGCAGTGTGGGGTTGGTGTATTTAAAGAGCACTTAAAGAGTCTCCTGAAAGCACTGTTTGGATATTTAAGTGCTCTGTGGTATTTGGCAGGTTTTCAGCAGCAGAGGAAAGGTCCTCACAGAGACGTTAAGAGTGATTCACCTCTGCAGTCAGACAAGGCAGATAATAAGATAATACTATGGCAGGGTTGAATGTTGAGTAACGTGCTCCGATATAAGAGATAGCAGGATTAAAAGCATTTAATATAAGCTAGGATCACACTGGTTTCAGACACCGAGGTGTGTGCTAAGTCTGCAGAGAGCGTCTCCCACAATGTCCAGCTCGTGTCTGAGCTCCTCCACCACGTCGTTGATGCTGGGCATGTCCTTCAGCACACACACACTCTGTGTGTACGGGTTGTAACGTAGAGAGAATGGACGCTGGATTGTCTTTGCAAATTCACTGTTAAGGATGCAATAGCAGGAAGGTTTGGTCAATATAAAATGATGATGCAAATATTAAATGATGCATTAAAAAAATGTATTTACCGCATTCTACATTTGGCTTCCTCAAAGCTCTCAGACACAAAGTAAACATCCTGAAAGGTGGTGATGAGACACTCCTGTTTGCAGGTGACCTTGGGCTCAAAGGGCAGGATTTTAGCAGAGTCTGAGAGAGAGTGCTTTAAAAAAAAAATACTGGTTTCAGAGTCATTGGCTTTATCTGAAATCGCCCCCCATAGCCTACTCTTAAATAATGCAACAGTGCCTTAAATAGATTTGTAGTTGTGTCCAAAACAGCAGTGGCTTTTCTGAAGTGCACTCAATCAATCCGACAATTCACCACAATAACAAGTGTACAAACGACTGACAATAAGATGCCATCTAGACTGGAATTCTATTGATGCAAGTGTTTTTCTCACTCACTTTAGTGCATTTCTCACAACACTATTTACATTTGCACAACAGTTAATGCATTTCTCAAAACGGTTAGTCATTTGTGCACATCCTAGTAGCAGTTTCTCATTCCTTCCAACAAATTGCAGATGCTTTTAGACATGCATCAATTGCTTTCATACAACTCTCTGCTGTTTATAACATTATCATTTACTTGTGTCATGTCAGTGGAAATGAACTAAACTTGTGAATGCTGAATAGTCATTCCATATAAAACTATTAGTCCTCATTTCTTTACTTGAGTCATAACATACAAAAATGTTGAACTAGTTGTCAAAATCTGTCAAGCTAATTTCATAACATTTTAAATCTTTTTTTTTTTTTCAAAAAATGTCTTCTAAATTAAACAGTTTCATGAATGATTTACAGACCTGTGTATGTTGTAGGTTCAGTTCCAATATGTACCGCAGTATTGTTTACAGTTGTGCACAGCTCTATCCAAAGGGAGTTTATGTTTGTTGTAAATAAGGGTGTGTTTATTCTTTTGCACAATACTGTTGATAAATTAGAATTGCCAAGAACAAATGCAGTAAAAATGTGAAACATACATATTCAGTTTGTTGTACGCAGATAAATCACTAGATGCAGTAATGTCTAACTTTACTGTAGTTTTCCAATGGCTGTGCAAATAGCATATAGTGCTGTCTTGAGCATTTTCAGGAAATGTCACCAAAGTCTGACTTTTTGCTTTGGAAAAAATGTACAGAGTAAACAGTCATAATGAAAACATGACAAAGTCATTTGACAATCATAAACAATGGTGTCAGGACTTTTCATCTTGATGACACAGACACTTTCTCAATATTTGCTTTTGAGGAATGAACTATCCATTTTGAGCAAGTGACACGCTTTTGCAGGTTATCAGCTAGGTTTTGCAGTTTGTACTAATTGTCTTGAGAAATGCATTAACTGTTATGCAAATGTAAAAAGCGTTGTGAGAAATGCACCAAAGCCACTGAGACACTATTCTGAAGCATGAATTATGAATCACATCAACCAAATAACAACAAAAAAGAAACTGTTATCTATTTATTTTTAACCATAAATCAATAAATAATAATAAATAATATTTCATTTTTATCATTGTTCCATTAATTTTAGTTTTATCATTCAGCAAAGCACAAACAAAATGGCTTTGCTTTCAGTGCACTTGGTGCTTAAATTCACTCATTGGTTTCCATGCACTTCTTTAAGTGGACTATATTAGTAAATTAATGTAGGGAATAGTGAATGAGGGAATTCGAAGGCAAATTCGGTAAACTATTTGTACCTACACTGCTGTTTAAAATTTTGGGGCTATTTATACACTGGACAAGGACAAATCTTTCTAGTTTGCATGTGTAAAATGTTTGTGTGCATTTGCTAATATATGTGTAAAAAAAGGATGAGTTTAAAATCTAAAATTCAAACTAGTAATTTAATTAAAATATACAGACTTCTTTTCTATTTTTTTTTTTTTAAGGAGTTTTCACCTTTATTGTAGTAGGACAGTGGACATTTACAGACAGGAAAGTATTGGGCAAAGATGAAGAAAGGATCATAAAGGATCTCGAGCCGGGAATCAAACTTGGTGCTATGTGTCGACCAACCACTAGGCTATTCTAAACCTAATAAAGTGTACTACAGTACCTTAAGTTCACTGATGGAAGAGAGAAGACCAGCCCCGTATGCTCTTAGTGAACCCTCCTGCTTACACAGACCAAACTCTACTGTGAAGAAATAGCACTGCAATGGCACACACACACATAAATACACACACAATTAAAACTACTGCACACAACATTAAACCTTTATGGATATATATAAACACCAGCACAGCAAAATACACCAAAACACATACTGTTGCTAATTTCTGCACAGCATCATCTGACGCCCCGAGAGAAGCCAACCCTAATTCCTGAGAGAACTGTGCAAAACTGGGTTCGGCCAACAGAGGAACGTGGCCTAGCAGCTCATGACAGGTGTCCCTGAAAGATACAGATACGAGGATCTCTTTCAATCTTTGTCAAGTGTTTTTGCCAGGCCTATTTCAGATGGTGTCATTTGTGCCTAAACCTGCTCCTGAAAAAGACCACAAACCAGAGTTTAGCATCTACCCAAATCACTTATCGATATCTTCAGTCTCATGACAAACTTTTATTCAAGTGTGTTGGAGCTCAAATCTGTTGGCCCTCCAGGTGCAAGATTGTGCTGTCCTGGTACAGTATATACAAGCACTGTGTGCGTGAGCCTGGAGATATAATAGAATCTGGAACTGAAAACCAATTATGGTAAGGTTGATATATTTTCGCTGCTTGTTTTATGTAGTTTACTTTTCACAATAGAATAGTGGCAGCTGATACAATTAAAGCAAACTGTAGGCACATAACCAGGAGGGCTTCGGGTGGTTTGAAAGACTAAAACAAATTCAGACTGAGGAATAGAGCTGGGCAGTTTGGTATTTGTCTATAGCCTGGAGTTTTTAACTTAAAACAAGTTTAAACAGATTCCTAATTGTTTTAGTTTTTTTTAAAAGATGGATGATAATAATTTTTTATTTTAAATATTTTTTCTTTCTTGTTCAAAATGTTTACTTTCAAATTTTATTAACATTGCAATATTTATACAACCGTAATAACTTCCAGTTGAAATGCACTTTGACAAAAATGCAGGAAATATTTTTGTTGCATCAAAAAATGTAGTTATGATCACCATTCGACAAGTTAATCCAGCAAATATTAGCTCTTAAAACATCACTAAAATGCAGAATTTGAACCAATTTTTTTTTTTTTTTAATTAAGCAAAAAGGTCCAATTTCGAGAAAAAAACACCCCCTTCAATAGGCTGGCTACAGGCCTGAACTGACCTATTTTTGAAAAGGTGGACTTTAAAAAAACTTTAACAGAACCTTTTAGGTAACTAATAAGGTATTGCAGCAGTATGAAAAAACTAATGCGTTTTTAAGTCCTGTAAAAGTGATGAAGCATATACAAATGCATATTATGAGAACTTTGAGTAAATGCAAACTGCCATTAAACATAATGTTAGCCATAAAATCCATTAGCACCTATTAGAAAACTAGTAATTCTAAAATTCATACAATAAGAATGCAACTGAGCTGAAATGTAGCTAACATAATGTCAGTCAATGACAAGACACTACAATAATGCTTAATGAGTAAACAAAGGGTTTACAAAGGTTAACATATGACTTATAATTTAACAATAAACTTTTAACAAGACGTTGTTGGAATTGCTACTTTTAGAAAATGAGAAAAACTCTGTATTGTTTTTAAATAATAAATAAATTAATAAATACTTCCTAATCATAGTTTGGCTTTACATATGGCCAGACACTTGCATGCATCTTTAAATTATTAATATTTTCCAAAATCAAGCTCAGCGGCACGGTGGCTCAGTAGTTAGTACTGGGTCAGTTGGCATTTCTGTGTGGAGTCTGCATGTTCTCCCTGTGTTGGCATGGTTTTCCTCCAGGTGCTCCTGGGTGTTTTCCACTCCTGGTTTGCAACTGGAAGGGCATCATCTGTGTAAAACCTATGCTGGATAAGTTGGCGGTTCATTCTGCTGTGGTGACCCCTGATTAAATATAAGGTTACTCTCAGCGAATGTAAGAAGTATTAAGTATATTTTCTAGAATGTGCAGATTATAAAGGTTGTAGTAGTTATGCATGAGCTCAAGATATGTCCTAGAATACAGTTTAAGGATCCAAAGGAATTAAAAATCAATAACTGGTTAAATCATCTTCAATTCAGTGTATTAACTGAATAAAATGTGACGTGTATGTTTTCATCCTTGCATATTAAAGGTGACAGACAGTTGGTGTTACTTCAACAATGGGTGCTGCTTGATAAAAGCCTGTTTCAAAGGCTTGTGTCAACAAATAGGCCTGAAGAGATAAAGGCATACATGCATTGTACTCACGGTTCAGGAGTGTAAAGAGGATCTGAGCTGTGACGCACGTATTGTGTACAGTGAAACACTCTGAAGGCCAGACCAGCCAAAAAGTCTCTGGGTGACAGATAGCCAGCAACAGGCCGAATGGTGAAGCCGGTTCTCTCTGAAACACATAAAAACATTCGTGCAACTACTGTCCTCTGCTGGCGACACAACATATATCACTCTTCAGTTCCTCTTGTACCTATTTTTTTTTTTTTTTTTTTCAAATGCATCTTTAAAAACGATGTGCTGATTATGCACCTCTCAGGAAGTTAGAGACGTCCTCCAGCTGTGGGATGTTGTCTTCTCTGTATCCACAGAACTGGCTGAGCAGAGGCAGGTTCTGCAGGTATTCTCTACAGGCATGTGTGGGGTACAGCTTGTTCAACTCCCGAAACACCACACCCCATGTCTTCACCTCTTCTTCTGTAAACTCTACGTGTGGTATAGGATCTCCACTGCAGAGAAGGAGAAACAATGTGATTATTAAAAATAAATATTTGATCCTTGACCACAAAAGCAGTCATAAGTGTATTTTTTTTTATTAAAGCTAAATAAATAAGCCTTTTATTGATGTGTACTTTGTTAGGATATGACAATATTTGGCAAAAATGCAAAAAATGTAATATCTGAGTTAAAAAAATACTGAGACAATTGCCTATAAAGTTGTCTAAGTGTTTAGTAATGGACATTACTAAAATTAAACATTATGTTTTGAAAAAACTTAATATTAAAATGATTGTTGGCCTAAATGGAAATGTAATCATTTTGAGCCATTCAATGTATTTTTGGCTATTGCTTAAAATGTACCCAAGCAACATAAGACTGGTTTTGTGGTCCTGGATCACATATGTGGAATTATTGGAGCAATTGTTCAATATTTATTATTGAACATACTGTTTGTAACTCATGGCAAGATCCGCAAAATATTTCCTTCTCTTGCGATAAACATTGTCTTTGAATCCCTGAAATTAAACATGAACAGAAATGGTTCAAATGATCAGTATATTTTATAGTCAATATATTTAACTAGTTAAGTATGGAGCAGGTAATACCAACCGGATGATCTGCGTCCAATTCTGAGCCGTACATCAAAACACGACAGGCACTTTTATCCAGATCCGAGATTTTTTTAGGGAACCAAGGCACCTCAGCAAGATCTGAAAATGCATTTACATAATGTTACACACCATTTCTTCTCAATTTTTTGTGCAGGACTTGTTGATCTAATAAAGGCATAATACGATACCGCTTGCAGGAGTCCAGAACTTATCAGGTGAGTTCATTGCTATTATGCTTGTTTGCTTGCGCAGAAGCTGAACAATTTCTTTCAGAGTTTCTCGATCACTGTCACAATCCACCAGCACTTCTAACTCTGAGTTGCGCCGTCTCGATTTACGTGACTCGATGTGCAAAAGGTTAACCTGGTTGTCCTATTTATAACACATGAAAATACCAAAATTAGCTCACTTTGTTTAAAAAGGATTATACAAATAAGATAAAGCATTTATTTATAAAATATACAAAAAGATGGATAAAGTTGAAGTCAGAAATATTAGCCCCCCTTTGATTTTTATTTCTTTTTTAAATATTTCCCAAATTATGTTTAACAGAGCAAGGAAATTTTCACAGAATGTCTGATAATATTTTTTCTTCTGGAGAAAGTCTTATTCGTTTTATTTCAGCTCGAATAAAAGCGGTTTTAATTTTTTAATAAACATTTTAAGACCAATGCTATTAGCCCCTTTATATTTTTTTCTGATAGCCTACAGAAAAAACCATCCTTACACAATAACTTGCCTAATTACCCTAACCTGCCTTAAAATGAACCCAGTCAAGTGTTTAAATGTCACTTTAAGCGGTATAGAAGTGTCTTGAAAAACATAGTAAACTATTATTTACTGTCATCATGGCAAAGATAAAATAAATCAGTTATTAGAGATGAGTTATTAAAACTATTATGTACGTTAGAAATGTGTTGAAAAAATTTGCTCTCCGTTAAACAGAAATTGGGGAAATAAACAGGGGTGCTAATAAGTCTGACTTCAAACTGTATGTATGTACGATTGTACGATAGATAGTACGATAGATGGATAGTACAATAAATAGATGGATGGATGGATGGATGCATGGATAGATAGATAGATAGATAGATAGATAGATAGATAGATAGATAGATAGATAGATAGATAGATAGATATAGATAGATAGATAGATAGATAGATAGATAGATAGATAGATAGATAGATAGATAGATAGATAGATAGATAGATAGATAGATAGATAGATAGATAGAAATAACATTTATCTACCTGAAATAGTTTTAATGCCTTGACAAGTCCTCCGACTTCATTCTTCAGAGAGAAGACAATCGCGGCATGTTCCCTCTTGGAGGAAAGTTTCTTGTCTTTGTTCTCGTCAGTCTTATGGAAAGTAGTTTTTCTCAGCTTCATAAAAAAAGACAGGTTGTATTGAAGGTCGTTGGGTAATACTCGGGTGTTTGTTCACATTAGCATGACAATCTCTACTACAGCAGATGTGTAATATCCTGAGTGACTGAACTTCTGTTTGTTTTTGACCTGCATTTTAAACAGGAAATCGTTTTTCACATGCAAATATTTATAGTTTCTAACTGTCAAAAGACTGGGTAGGATGAATAAATTGTTTAATGAATTAACATTTTGAATAATTATTTTTAAGGAATTTGTAGCGACGTCAATGCGATGTAAAACCTAACGACAAGTGCCAAAAAATAATCATTTTATTAATTAAAAATATACAAGGCATAACTTGATAAACCTTCCATGAATACGTAAAAATTGATGAATAAAACTTTTAAAAGACCATTTGTAACATACATTACATATATAAGTAATTTACATACATAATAGTCCTGTATTGTGTGTCATTTACAAAAGGTATTGTTTATTAAAGAGTTATTGTAAACATCTCAAAATACAAGTAACCGCAACAATTATTGATTGAACAACACAATCTGACCTGCCTTGTAGGCTACCTTACGTCTAATATAAGGCAAAACAAACATTTTATCATCGGTGATGGGTTTTGACAACTCTTTCTCCTTGTTCAAAACTGTTTACTCGTCAAATGCTTGTAAAAGCTCGTACCTCATTGCTGAGTAGCTTCTCTTCGTAGTTCTTATTGATGGAGTCAAAGGATCGTCCTCGGCGAGGTCCGTCAAGCTTGTTGGAGAGCATGGATGGATGCTCTTGTTTTATAGTAGAATACGGAGAGGTGAGCGGCTCTGATAGACGCTGCCGTCAGGCTGATAATGAGGTTTTCTCTCTGGATTTATAAAGAGAACATGCGGAGGAGGGGGAGGAGCACGCGCCTCTGGAAAATACACTAATTGATCAACCCCGCCATCCATTGGAAAAAGTTGGATTTTAAATTCATTTTAAGAAATGGTAAGTATGTTTGTTACTGTTACAACTACACGTTGCCGCAGTATTTACCTCAATAACGATATTTCTTAGACTAGGTCAAATTTAAGAAGTTATTTAGTCTCAGCGTGTGTGTTTGTGTTCATCTGTTTTCCTAACACGTAGCAAAACATAAAAATGTTGAACCATTTCTATAATTGCCCAAAAGACATGCTAGTTCTAAAAGAATGTTAAAATCATATAAAACAAACTGTATAGATGTTAAATAGACTTAATACGTTTAATGAAACCCCTCCACGACATTATCATTGTTTGAGGGCCTGTACATTTATTTAGCTACCTAGAGTATATTGAATATTGCTGTAAGTGCCAGAGTTAGATCATAACACTTTTAAACACAATATTAATAGGTCTAATAAACAGGGTTGTTGCTGATAGGGAAAACATGGTAGTGATTGAAGGGGCCCTGCAACTATATAGATAAAACCCTAAATATTGATATTTAATAATGAGTTAAGAGCATCACGGTGGGGCAGTGGGTCGCCTCACAGCAAGAAGGTTGCTGGTTTGAGTTCTGGTTGAGTCAGTTGGCATTTCTTTGTAGAGTTTGCATGTTCTCCCAGTGCTCCGGATTCCCCCACAAGTCTGTTTCCCAGTGATGGGTTGCAGCTGGAAGGGCATCCGCTGCGTAAAACATATGCTGGATAAGTTGGCGGTTAATTCCTCTGTTGCGACCCCAGGTTAATAAATAGACTAAGCCGAAGGAAAATGAATGAATGAATGAATAATGAGTTAAGCATCACAACATTTCCACAGAATGAACCACTGCCACATTTATCACCAGAGTATCGTTACTTGATCATTAAAAGAAAAGCCTAAAAACAAAATTGAAAGTGTGTCACCACTTTACTTAATTTGTGTATTTTTGATAGTATTGAGATGAGATACAGCAAAAGACAGAGTAAATTTAAGGACTGGTTAGGGTTAAAAGTGTAATTACAGATGTGTTTGCAGGAGTGAATTACAGCTTTAATGAAAGGCAGGTCTTTTAAATTTATGTACAGTGTAAATACAGGCCACAAACAGATGTATAAAATGCAAAATGTAATTTAGTTCAGACACTTGATGTGAACTGGATCAGAAAACGTTAATAACATGGAAAATCAAGTGTCATGCAATGGTGTGATCTCAGCTGATGTTTCAGCACTATTGCCAAAAGAACAGCTCCGACAGGCCATTAAAAGATTCATAAAAATCGCAGACCTTGGCATTTAAACACACCCAACCTTTCATTTGGTTTGCATTGTTGACATTGGTTTATTTATTTACACTTTCCAAGGTTGGTCTGGGATCAGTGAGCTTTATTTCCACACCTCTGTGGAAAACTAGCGATGAAAGCGATGTGGTTTATGGTCTAATATGCCACGGCAGCAGTTCTAGATTACCTGGCGACGACTGATTCGGAATGTGCTTGTCACAGGTTGCTGTTATCTCCAAACCAAAGGCCCCAATCCCCACTATAGTTCCAGTACGGGGGTGATTTGTTCCAAAGGGAGAAACATGGAAAATAATACAAGCTTGCAATGAGCGTGGCTCGGATTAATAATGATGTGGTAGTTATGAGCAATGGCTGTTTACAAGCTCACACCAGCATTAATTAGCCCAAATGCAATATAATTAGGTACTGTTGTACGTCCATTTCCAAATGATATGACTAATCTTTTATTCAGACGTTCTCACGCTACTTCTGTGCTTTATTGGTCCATTGTCTGAGCCTCCCACTGCTTGGTCATTGATCTGAAAGACCTCCATACCCCTCCTCAGACAGTCTTTTGTATGGCAGCCCATAAATACACATCTCATTATAGCTTCATCAAGTGAGAGATACACCATCTATTGAAACACAGCCAGTTTGTACCAGTTCCAACAGCATGCTGGGATTTAGTGCAAATGTAGAATATCTTTATACCTCTGCAAAGCCTTGAAGATGCAGCATAAGGGCAAACTGAAAGCCTTTGGGCTTTATGACTCTCCTTTATAAAACCACATCTTGTTAAAAGGTTAGCCACAGGAAATGTCTGAATTTTTTTCAGTGCTAATATCTATCAGGGGGTCCATAGGAACCAGGAAATGAGCAAAGTTCCACTCAGAGATCCCTGTATGTTTTTAATATGGTTAGCATGTGTATGATTTTCATTTCCTTTTGGCCTCATATAGTAATGATGCCTGCATAGAAGTGATGACGTAAAGTGTGATTGATCCAAGTCAAACCATGCTCAGACTAATCCAATGGAGCGTTGGAGTCTGGTCTATTAGCATAAGCTTCATTGTAGACACACAGCTTTGACAAACAGAGTCTTCATTCTTAGACAATTCAATACAGTCAGGCTCAGGAACAAAAAGTTTCCATGCTAGAAAAAGGCAATGATGGCGTAAGCAATGATACACACACTCTGAGTTCACTGGCCTGTCAAACAGCGTAAAGTTCCTTCAAGGTATTCGTGTTTCATCTTCCCAGGTGAGCAGATAAAGTATGTGATGCAGAACATTGTCAGAAAAGATTAAGTCATGATCACTGAGCTTCAGTTCAAAGATGACAATTGAAAGAAATATTTGGCCAACTTGAAAGAAAATCCATTACAGTAGGTGGACCACATAAAATTTGATCCAGTGCTGGGGAAAATAACCAAAACTCTCATTAATGGTTTAACTGAGCTGCAAGGCACCTAAGTCAAGCTCTGGCATGGATTACAAACTTTATGAGACGGTAGATTTTCATGCTGAACATTTCTATATTTGACTTAAAGGCAAAAGTCTTCTTTCTCTAAGAAACAAAGGAAGGAAGGAATGAATATCATGTCTGAGTATGTGCGCAGACATGAACAAGTGCGTCAGTGTGCTGCATGTGCATCTGGTATAGTCAACAACCCGAGGACTCTTCATCATCATCTGTGAATGGTGGACAGTGCAAAACATGGCTATATGACAGGACAGACATTATATTTTCTCAAAGCTATGGAGGACATCACTCTAATGTACATGTGTTTTTATATATATTTAACTTTAAAGTGATTCATAAATTCATATTTTTAAATTTATATTTTTGTTTTATTCTGTTAGCCACTAGTGACAATTCTTCTTAATGTAAAATAAAAATATAATTTAAAGCATTATTTGCATAAAAAAACAAAAGGGTGCTATCATTTCTGACATTTTTGACACAATAGTAGCGACCCTGATTTTCAGTCACAATGAATGAAAATAAAATATTTATTTCAACCAATTCTCATTTTCTGAGGGTGTATAAATTTTTTTTTTAGAAATAAAAAAAATGTCCAAATAAATTAAATATATAAATAATAGTATATAAATATATGGGTTTTTAAAAATTTAAATGTTATTAGATACTTTCAAACCCATAAGTATAAACTACATATTCAAAAAGCTGAGAATTTTTTGAAGTTGTACCTTAATTTTTTCCATAAATATACCTTAGTAAAACACACACAAACACAAACACGCATTTAATGCTAATATGCTGATTTGCTGCCCATAAAGCTTATTATTACCATCATAATTTGATTTTGGTTATTATTATTATCTTTAAAAATGTTTTTATCCGTTTCATAATTGTGTGGTAGATGCGATACATTTTCACTTAAGATTCTTTATTGACTAAAAAGTAAGAGTGATATAACAGCCTTTATTTAAAATTATATCTTTGGTAAATCATTATAAATATTTAAATCACACTCATTTTTATCAATATAATGTGTGCTTGATAAATTAAACATTAGTTAAAAAATACATATCAAACTGAAAGTATAATATAACTTATATAAATGAGAAAAAAAATCATAATTCTACTGAATGATCATTTTAAATGAGTCATCTGACAACATCATTTGGCACTGCAACAATATCAACAAAACGGCTTTTCTAAGTAAATTTTCCCAGTCATATTGCATAGTGTCTTATGACATAGTAATATAGTGTATAGTATAGTGTCTTATTACTTATTACCCTAGTAAAGTGTTAGCTTGGTACTGGCAGTAAACACTGAAGCTATTTAACACAGGATATTACCTGCCACAGACACTTAAAATGATTGATTGCTTTTTAACATTAAACCTCTACTACTACTCAGAGGTCATTTCTAGGATATATTTAAGAGAAGAGTTATCTGGAGAAGACAAGAGCTTTTATTATCAGCATAGCACATAAGAAGAATACGTGGTGATTTAATAAAACTGATTTTAACAGGCTTAAAATCCATACGAAATAATATGAAAATGACAATGTTTATTTTGCAAGCGCACAATGTTATTCTTTAGGTGAACAATTAATTTGTGCAAGTTAATCCAAAGAAAAAAATGTTTGCTTCGACATTTAGAGTGGCAGTCTTTCTCTGATGATGTCCGTTTGATGGTTTCAGCCACAATATTCTTTAAGCTCTTGCTGTAGGTGTGCTATAAGGGAATGATGTGCAAAAAGAAAGCCCCACCCTCTACTCAATAATCCAGTTAGTTGGAAGCTCATCAACATACTGAAATACAAGTCAGAGCAACTTCTGGTTCATGCTGACTTTAACATTGAACTTGAGCTTCCTCGATTGCTGATGGTGACACAGAGCAAGGTTAAATCGGAAAGCTGAATTTTTTTATTGACACTTTCAAGAAATTTATTTTATGGCTCTTTAATTTTAGAACAGTATTAAAGAAGAATGAAAAGATGACAGCCTTTCAAATTAAACTTTATAAAATCATTTCCAAGAGGGGCATGACATTTTTTTTAGTAGGGATGTGGTATTGACTAGTCAACACTTCTAGTAGGTGGAAGAATATTATGGCCATGAC